AAGTTATTATTTCTTTCTAAATAGTGGGCCAGGAGGAAGGAAGAGGAGCACATGAGCCTTTGGTGAATCAACTCCCTGCTGGGGTCCACTGCTCGGGCCCTTTGTTCCCCCTGCCCTGTGGCCCAGCGCCTGCTCTTTATGATCCTGTAATGCAGGACCCAGGACTCTGCTCCTCCCTGCAAAGTGTATTCAACTGTCACCATTGTCCCTACAGATCCATTAACTCAGTTGCTCCAAATCCCTAAACGTCAAAAGCAGCCCCCTCCCTCTCTCTCTCTCTTTCTCCTTCTCGCTCTCCTGATTGCCTTCTCCTCCCCATCCCCCTGCCTTTGGTGGCAGAAAGAAAGGCTAAAGACATACTATAAATAGATAAAATTAACGATTGACATAAGTGAGATGAACATATTCACGCATCGTAGATCTCTCTCTGCACATACCTACCAACCTTCTTTCTCTCCCATTTACTGCACATGTGCTAAGCAAGATGCTTTCTACGTTTTCTTTGCAACGTCCTCAAGGTAAGTATTTCTATCTCCATTTTACAGAGGAGGGAGCTGAATGGCTAAGTCACCTGTCCAAGGCCACACAGCTAGTGAGATGTGGTCCCTGGATTAGAACACAAGTCTGTATGAATCCGAAGACTATACTCTCCTGCTTCCAAAATCATGTTCGAAATTTTATACCATAGAAGGGCAGCTAATACATGAAATTTCTATCGTAATTATAGAAAGCTGAAATAGATGGGCGGATTTTTCATATAATACTCAAATTTAAGTTTGGGCAATAATTTCACATTCTAAGTGGTATTTTTCCTAAGCTAACCCAAAATACAGCCAATCAAGTTTCCTCCATTTTTTCCTTTCCTCTTGCGGACGAAGAGAGCCATTAGATGGCAAATGGCTCCTAAGTAGGGCAACCAGAGAGAAAAGGACCTTGGATGTTTGAATGTCCCCGTGACATTCAACAAACATTTGTTAGTGTCTCCTCTAGAGCACCAAAGGGAACCATGCCCATCCCTGTCTTAAGAGACTTCATCCTACCTGAGGAGTCAAGGGATAAAAAGGCAGACTAGAAAGCAGGCGATTGTGCTAAGTGCAACCTATAGATAATGAAGGGTCTGCTTCCAGGGAAGGAAAACATTGCTGGGAGATGTGGTAGTCAGGAGAGGCTTCTCGGAGGTGGTAGAACTTAAGTTGAACTCTTGAAGGATGAGTACACAGAGGAGACGAGGATGTTCCACACACTGTTTGATAAGTGTAGAACCAGAAGGAATGGTGCACCTGATAACAGACTCTCATTTTGCAGACAAGAAGACAGAAAACTACCGAGGATGGGGTAAGGAAAGAGACCAAGAAGGGTGGGACTTGAGGTGGCTCCTTTAGCTGCAGGTAAGGGTAGACTTCTGCTCCCATAGGGGTTTGTTAGGAGATACGGTCAGAAAGTTGGAGCCAAAGAAGAAGGGCAAGCACATCCATCAGACTGGGAAATTCTGATGATTATGGGTGGTGATGAGGGTCCCGGTGGTAATTCTAAGCTGAGAAATGCTTTGAGGGAAGCAGTGTTTTAGGAAGCTCAGTCTGCAATGGTGGACAGAAGAGCGAAATGGAGGCAAGTGGACCAGTTAGGAGTGCCTGTAATGACCCACATGTGATACGATCATTTCACTGGAGCAGTAGCTGTGGGCCAGATGTGGGAGATGTTTTAAAGGAAGGACTCAGAGAATTTGATGACAGATTAGCTACGGGGGTGAGGGGAATATGAGAGAGAAAAAAAAAACTACCAGGCTAATTTCTCTCCTTCCCAGCATATTTGAGCTAGAATTGAAAATATTTTAAACAAGAAACATATTTCAGAACAAACTTTTTCCAAAAAATATCTTCTTTCGAATAACTTTTTTCCCCATGGATCTAACCTAAAGTAGAAGTAAATGTACCATATGACCATGGACTTAATTTCATCCGTAAGCCTCTTTTCCCTCAAAGTCAATAATGACGATAAAAATAATAATCTATTTAGAATCAGCTCCTCAAAAATTTTAATCCCCTTAAATTTACTCCGTGCTCTCCACACAAAAATATTGCACAGGGATCAAAGAACCAGACATCCTGACCTGACCCATTGGTTGGCCTCATCCATATGGCAGTGGTTGGGGAAAGCTCAATATTCAGTATCAAAAATCCTGCTTTCTGGATTTTTAAAGAATAAACCACTTTAAATCGAAAACACAGTAGAACCAAGCTCCTGTCCATTCCCATATGGATGTATAATTAAGAAAGGAAATGCCAACTGTCACACTTGCCACTTGTCTCTACTATGACAATGGAAATGACCACAACAATGTGCCTGAAGTCACATAAATTTCCTTAGAAGAACAGAGTAGAAGCTTTTGAGTTTTCTGATGCGGGTTCCTACTTAAGTCTACCACGAGCTCGGTGAATACCTGGATTAATGCATTTTGGTTTTCCGCTCCAACATAAAAATGGATTTTGTAATTTAATGAATCAAGCTTTCAGATTGCTTTTCACCTCTAAGATGCATCCCCTTACAACACGGATAGATAGCAGGATGCATCCACACTGCAAATTGGGATCTGTACCCCAGTTGTTTTTCGCTCCACGGGGCGGGATATCCCTTGTGTCAAACACTTTCACAGCTGTTAGAACGCTGACGGGAACTTCATGTGTGTTACCAGCACAAGGGCTGTCAGGAAGAAACCAAATGTCAAACTGAGGTATGTAGAAGTCACCGTAAATATGTCTCTGAATGTTTACCATCTGGACCAGTAGATTGAGGTTTTGACAAGAAACTAGAATTGCCCTGTGGGCACTGTCTTTTAAGCAGACCCTTTTAGTTTTGCTAAGTTACTTTCATATTACTTTAGTCTCGTTAGGGGGAATAACACACAACTTTGTCTTCTCAAGGTGTGAATTTATTATTTCTCAATATTTCCTTTCTTGTTTCCCTCCTGCCTAAAGCTTTGTACAGTTGACCTTTGGGGGGAATTCTTCCATCTTGTCAAAATCCTGGGCAGGCAGCCTGGTGGTCAGTCTGTGACATTAGGGACATATGCTGGAGGGGCTCCCGTGGCTAAACGGCAACTTGCCTTTTTTAGATGCCATCACGACGCGTCTCACGGAGGAACAGCCCATCTGTGCGGAGGAACTTTACTTTCTCCTGAAATATTTCTGCCATAGTGAAAAAGGGCATTTGTCTTCAGCCCCATCCCTGCTGCAGGCTGTGCACAGAGTCCTAATCCTGACACAACACGAGATATTAGTTTGCCTTTCTGCCTTTATTTTTTTAAACCCCAGTACCATTGTAAAGCCAAAATGGAATGACTGGAATTCCAAAAGACTCCAGCTTATGAACTTAGTCCTATTTTGGTTATGTAATATTGGGAATCCGATAACACCCAGTCATAATAACTGCCTGGTTATTCCTGAGGATGTTTTCTCAATGAAGTAGATTTTTAAGACCGTAACCAGAAGACATTCTGAATAACAACCAACCACTATACTAAAATATTGTTTTGCTCGTAACTTTTTAATCATATCGTAAAAGAACAATTAGAAAATATAAAGGGACTGATTGCAAAAAAATTATATAATGCAACTTGAAACATCATTTTCCAGGCATCTTTATGCAGTTGAACACAAAAATCACAAAGCACTAGCCATAAATCCTGTTATTCAACCTACTCAACAGCTCCTATTTCAGAATAGCTTATATACAGTATTATTCAGACAATCTCTCACCTGCAAAGGCTGAGGACAGTATTGGGTTTCTCTATCAAATGTGAAAGTCCAGGAGGACCAAGAACTCTGGAGCACCATAGGTATAAGAACATTGATGCAGGGGGGGCAAGGCTGTTAGGGGGCAAAGGAACTGACTCATTGACTCACCAGCTTGATCAAAACTTTGAAAAATGAAAACTTTAGGGCATCTGTTTGAAAGGCTTTTCTTTTGGTAGCACAAATTAAACATAGCATATAAACCCCATTGTTGTATCCAGTTCAATTTAATTTGGGTGGTTTTGGCAGTCGTTACGTTAACGACTGCTCACACATATGACGACAACCCATTTTATGCTGCTCAGGGACCGGATGACCATTAATTTCCAATGACTAATTTATAATTAAAACCTTTTTGAATGTTTGTTTATAACCAAGGCTGAAAATCTATTTACATTTAATTAACACTTCAGATAGCCTGTTTAAAACCTATAAATGGAGGGACTTTAATGATCCATCACAGAGATGCCACTTTAGTTTTCAATGACTTGTAAAACTTTCACAAACAGATCTGCAAACGAATTACCTCCATCTGCCCCCCCTGCAGGGGCAAGAGGACTATGTTAAAGAGCGTTTCCTGACTTCCTCTTTTTCTACTTTTCTTCTAGCTCTAAGCAGTTTTGTTTTAAAGCCGATCAGCTGCTCAGAGGGCAGCCTCGCCTCTGAAGGAGTTTGCAAACTTTAGAATCAATGCCCCCCGTTTCTTAAAAAGGCTTTGGTCCATGATAAGTCAGACAGAATCCACATTGCAAAGATCGGTTAAGAAAGCATTTCCATCTCTGCCAGCAGCTCGGTAATAGACTCTTAAAAGAAATTTTGATAAATTGAGTAGCAAAATGCAACAGTTTGAAAGTGAATTTTAATCTCGAGAGCTGGAATAAATGCTCCCTTGGCCATGTCCATCCTTTATGAACAATTTAGAGCTCCTGGTTTGAGTGTGTAACGAGGATATGAAAGGGGACGAACACCACTCCTAAAGACGTTTTCTTAGCTACACCTTCAAGAGCAAGAGACGAGGAGTGTTAGTTCTATAAAGACAGCCAAGCACCAAGCATGTCACTGTTATCTGTCAGCCGTACAATAGCAGCATTGATAGGATAGCAACAACTGGCTTTGACAAGTGTGCTGCGCTAGCATTCCATTCAAAACTAGGGTAAAAGAGAGAGAGAGAGACGGAGAGAGAGGAGCAGTCAATGTTCTTTACTTTACCTGAAAAAATCGGTTTTCCCGGGGCTGCGGAAAATGAATTCCTCCTCTTCTTCCAAAAGCCAAGTCGTTCTCTTGCCTGCAACTCTCGCTTGGAGAAGACCACACAGCTCCAGCAAGGCAGCCTTCCTGCTCCTAATCCCCACTCGAACGTGATGACACACGCTAACCCCAACCATCTGGTGAAACACGTCCTCAAGCACTCAGCACAGTGGTGTGTCAAGACAGGCTGCCCAATCCAATTGCTGGGGCTGGTGTCTCTCACCGACCGGAGGCTGAGGGCAGGGCTGAAACTGGAGGTCTGAGAACTCCCAGTCAAGTAACCTGAGATTTTCAGAGAGAAAGGACTGTTATAAAAAGAGGAGAAGTGGGAGGTGCTAAAGAGAAGGTGGAGGGAATGAATTATTCTGGTGGCCAGTTGTGCGTTACTTTTCACAACTCCTGCGCTCCCCGGGGATGATTGGGACCCTCAGTAGGATGCACAGCAACACTAAAAATCCTTTCCTGCCAGCCTAGAGAGGGCAATCTTCTCAGCCAGGCACTCCCCCGCCCCCCAAGGAGATAAAAGATTCATCCTGACATACTGATAAAGTGTTAATGTAGGAGTAGTTTGCACTGAAATGTGACATCTACATTTTGAAATCTAAACTCCTACCTTCCTTTGATTAGATCGTGGCTGCCCCCAACATTCCTGGGAGGAAAGGGGTGGGGGCGCAGCTCCGAGCAGGAACTCCTCTATTCCCACATACAGCTCTTCCCTGTTTGCCACAGGCTGAACTTCAGAAATAGTCAATGAAAATCATGTAAGTTTCTACTCATGTAAAATAGCACGTGCTCCCATAGATAAAGGTGGCTTTTTTGATCGCTGCCTTCACAGACATCTCTTTGTCAAAGCACTTGGTAGCACAGGGCTGTACTGTCATTGATTATTTTTATTGGCTTCTAGTTAATTGCTCTTATAATGCCCATATAGCTCAAACAGCTCATTAACAATCTTCCTTTGAAATGTTTTCAATTTTTTGGTCATTTCACTACCTCCTTCTTATGTGCATTTCTTTTTCTTTTTTTTTGGTGGTGGTGGCGGGGGGGTTCTCTGAACTGTTTGATAGAACTAATTACTTTGATAGCAGTCTGAACCAGAAAATGGCTATACTTGTTACAATACTTAAGAAGATATCTGGAAATAAATTAATTGCTACAAAGCTCACCACTTAAAATTCCATCAGACTTCTAAGGAATTTTAATAATCTGAGAGAGAAAATAGGAATTTGAAATATTATCAACTCCCTGACAGTGTCTGTGGGAAGCCAATATTTTAGATTTTGCACCTTTTGAACTTCTTTGCACTGAGAGGGGGATAGGTGGAATAAAATCCAAAAAACTTTAAACTTGCCTAAAGCATTAAAATCTAGACTATAGGGCCTGTATGACGAAGAAAATTATTTCAATATCCAGCAAAATTGACTTGACTAGCTCATTTTTTTTTCCAGGAAGTTTTGTGTGATATACTAAGGCACTTAAAAATTACTTCTGGTGTAATTTTATGAAGTTTAGGATTAAAGAAATATAATTTTCAGACAGCGAATTTTTCCTATAGTTGGGCTGAGGGAAAAAGGAGAAAAAACAAGAATTAGAGGTTGGAGTCCTCATGCGTTTGCTCAGTTTCTTCCCAGAAGTGATTATGAGGTGTCTGTTTCACAATATATAGTATATTCACTTAACCACTGTGCCTAATCAGCTAAATCCAGATACATAATCAACACAGAAACATTCAACAATGGCAAGTGGCACCACGGGGCTAAAACTTCCCTTGGGCATCATAAAAATTTTAATAGTGCCAATTATTGCAAGGCAATTTTTTTCATTAAAAAATTTTTTTGGGGGGGCTAAGCCAACCAGACTCATGTCTGGAAATCTGGATTACCTCAGTTGCATAGAGTTTGAAGACCCTGGAGACGTTGTTAAGGCAGTTTGCATTCTCTTAAACTGTAAATTGAGTTACAGAAGTAAAACCTAAGAAACTGCAAAGGTGTTGAATCCTGTTTTATCAACCCTGTGCTTGTAACACACCTTCCCCAAGCCATTTCCCATGTGGTCCCGGCTCTGACCCACATTATTGTTGAAAGCGCTGTTTAACACAAACATTTTTCTTCTATTCTTAATTGTAAATCTTTTCATTAAATCTGTCTCTGCTTCTCTTTTATAGATAACTTCAGCTATTTATACTACTAAAACTTGCTTTAAAATAAAAAATACAGGTTGAATAATAGAGGCTGCCCATTTGCTAGGATCTTAATTCTGGCTCTGTGCAGTGTCTGTAAACATTACCTTTCAAAAGTCTTGTAAAACGAGTCCACGGCGGCACGTTTTTGGGTTGACGTTCTGAAATGCCTTTCTTAAGCAAAATCAACTCAAACAAAAACCTGAAGCTGGTGCTACAGGATAAGGTCCTGCTCCCCTTCTCCCTGTAGCCAGCTTCAGTGCTCAGCAGTGTCAGTTCAGAAGTTAAGAATTTTCCATTACCTCCGCTCCTTTCTCCTTGCCATCTGCAAACAGTTTATTTTTTAAGGAGGAAAAAAAAGTGAAATTGATTCTGTCTTGAAAGATCTAAACTTAAAATTTGGCGCATTCTAAAAGATGATACGCGGCCTTTGAATGTGGTGTTGACCAAGGTGAGATTGTGCGCAGAAGGAATAGCTCCATCACAGGAATGAGGTGAGGACACTCCTAAAATGAAAGATGAATTGTAGGTAATGGTGATATTGAAAAATAGCCCCTCCTATTCTGTTCCCACAGTGAAAATGTCCCTTTACTTATTAGCTCCAATTAGTTTCCATGGTAACCAACCAGCCCTTGTAAACCCGCACTCTGAGCTTCCCTCATCTTTGTCTAGACTGAGCTCACCACCCTTCTTCCTCCACAGATGGCAGTTTAGCTGGGTCTATATCTATCTCCATATCTTTCACGCATGCATATAACCGGCACATAAGTGCCCGCGTCCACGTTATTACTAGTACAATGGTGGCCAAGGGAAAATGCAAGTGGCATTTAATCCCTGAGCTGCAGCGCGTGCATCTGCCGCCACACTAATTTTTCCCCCTCTTGGTTATTGTTTCTTCCAGTCTTGTTCTATTATCAGCTGTTTGCTGCTCGTAATTTCTTTTCAGGGAAGCCAATACAGTATAATAAAAACCTCATTAAACAGAAACACCTATCAGCCTCGGAGAAAACCCTAAACGACTCCTTTTTGTTTAAAGAATCATTAAAGCGAAAAAGAAAAACCACTTGTTTGTCATGCTTGAAAAAAAGAGGACAAAGCCAGCATAAAGGTTTACCAAGCCAGGGGGCTAATACGAAGATTTAATGCACTTAAGATATCATGGTTCTTTCCTCCTTGTGCTGCCAGTTGGCCACAAATCCCAACTTGAGCGCAGTAGGCAAATGATCAGTGAGGCTGAGAGAGTCGGCTGCTCCAGACACTTGGTGGGGAGAGTGGTCCCCAGGATCTGCAGCATCCTGGGTTGCAGGCTGCACGGTGCCATGGGGCGGTGGGCAGGTGGTAATGCTGGAGTCCCAGCAGTTAGTGTGACTACAGAAGAATCTGATGTAGAGTTGGGGGGGCGGGGCTTCAGCAAATGCTTGAGATTGTTAGAACTCCGCAAGCCATGGGCTCTTGCAATGTGTGCTGACTTCACTTCTTTGGTCACGACTCAATTTTAATTCAGTGTTATGTTGAGGTAAACCATCCCTTACTTATAAGAATTGAGAAGAAGCCAACAGCTTGGAAGCCAGTCTTTTGCACTGGCCATGTTTAATCTTGGTAAGAATGAGGCAAAATGGTGACATTAGATTTCTTCTTTTCATATGACCTCTGCTGCCACCATTTGCCAACACCTGTTTTGACAGACAAACAATGATTGGGAATAAGATTCCCCCAATTCTGGTGAAATGTTTTATTCTCAAAATAGTTCCTGAGGTCATCTGTGACCTAAGTTTCAGAAAAGAAAAAGTTCTGATCAATGTTTTATTTGCTAGGATATGGAAAGCTGTGAAGCTCCTTATTCAGATGAATTGTTTTCTTTGATGGAAACATTCCCTTAGGTTTTTTCCTTTAAAACAAATGACAAACGTCATCTAAAGTCCACGACACTAGCAAGATGTGCAGCAATTAGCCCATTGCTATTAATATCATATAAAGCGTCTGTAGATGTGCAATAAATCTTGTAATTTGGGACATCCTACTCTTCTAAATCACTCAGGGCTACCCAGCTTGGCATTCACTTATTCTCCTTCAACGACACTTTACTGCCTGTATTCACATCCAAGCAAATTATTCTCAGAAAGAGAGGGGAAATTATTGCTTGTTAAGTGAAGTCACATGCTAGGCAACCAGCATCAGACTTACTCATGTTTTCAATGACTGCGTAGCTATATGGGAGGTGACACTGGAGCCAGTGGCGGCTTTCATACCAGACAAATGGTTCATCGCTGAAGTGACGTTCCCTCCAGGAAGTGCAAGCCTAAGTATGTTGAAAAGGGCTGTGTAGCTGTGCTCTAAATAATTTTGGGAGGGTGAGGAACCACTTAGGACAAAACAGTGACCCACAAATGGAGTAATTCAATAAAAGATACTGGGTTCAATAAAATACGGCAAATAGAGTACGAAAGATTTTAAAAATTTATTTGAAATCCGTATTTGTGGAAATTCGTGTTTGGGGCATTAGGTGTTAGTCCTCATTTGAGCAGATAACTAAATTTATGAGACATAAGATTAGAAAGCATGGATATCAAGTAAGAGGAAAATGAATTTTGGCAATTAGAACCTAAGGTTTTATTGGATCCGTGTAGGGGTAGGTTGGGGATATTTGAGATGGAGTGTACTCTAAACCTAATGAGTCACATAATTATTTTTCATTTGTAATATGTACATTCCCTGGTTAAGGTAAATAGTGTGAATGAAGGTGGAAAACTGGAGGCAGGGATGGGCATCAGTCATGTCCAAAGAATACGGTAGTAGAATTCTGCTTTTGGAAGGAATAATAGACAAAATCAAGTTTCCTTATTTAAGAGCTGAGGAAAGAGAGGCCACAGGAGGATAAGGGTGCCATGTAAGCCACTCATGGAATGGGAAATAAATGCCAAGATTCAATTAATTAGCTCACACATTTTTCTCTCAATAGCAACATACGTTTCTGTTAGAAATAAGCTTAAGAACTGGGGCTGGCCTGGTGGCATAGCGGTTAAGTTCGGGCGCTCCACTTCGGCGGCCCAGGGCTCGCTGGTTCGGATCCCAGGCATGGACCTA